GGTGTGACACAAAGAACGTCATGTGTGAAGAAAGCGAAAGGTCGTTAAAAAGACAGGAAATAAGAAAGAAAGGAAAAAGGGGATGCCAGAGAGACTCCGAGGCTTGCTCTAAATCACAGAGTAGCTCAGGCAAATGGAAGAAATGATAAATCAAAGAGATGAACAGAAAGTTTCAAAGGGAAGCTCAAGAAGACAAAGTAAAATATTTTTAATGGAGCGTGCAAAGACAGAGTTAGAAATCCAAAGAACGACATGCTCAGCATAGCTGAAACTCAAAGAACTAAAGACAAACTTCAAGTCTCCAATAACTATACATTGAAGGATTCTGTGGGGAAAATACTGAACAATGCAGGAATTATCCAAAGAAAATGGAAACATGTACAATATACTTGATACAAGTGATGTATGAATTGTTATGAGCTGTAAGATCCCCCAATACAATGATCTTTTAGTTTAAAAAAATTACCTACAAAAAAGACGATGGAAAAAATATACAGTCACTGTACCCAGAAGAACTAGCTAACATGCAGCCATGTCTAGAGATAGCATATGATCAAGAATGAATGATACTGAAGGAAGAAGTCCAAGAGACACTGAAAGCATTAGACAAAAACAAGGTTCTAGGACTTGATGGAATACCAACTGATGTTTCAAGAAGCTGATGAAGCACTGACTCTCATCTATGCCAGGAAATTTGGAAGACGGCTACTTGGGGGAGATCCATATTTGTACCCATTCCAAAGAATGGTGACCAAAAGAATGCTCAAATTAAAGCACAATACCATTGCTATCATGTGCAAGTAAAATTTTCCTGAAGATCATCCAACACTGGTTGCAGAAGTACCTTGACAGGGAGCTGCCAGAGATTCCGCTTAGATTCAGAAGAAGACCTGGGACAAGGGCTATCATTGCTGATGTCAGATGGACCTTGACTGAAAGCAGAGAACACCAGAGAAATGTTTGCTTGTGTTTTATTAACTATACAAGGGTATTTGACCGTATGAGCCATAACCAACTATGACTAGCCCTAGTTGGAGAAAGAATGAGAATTCTTGAACATTCCATTGTGCTCACGTAATGTGGAACCTGGACACAGATCTCCTGCAAACAGAATAAGGAAATACTGCCTGGTTTAAAATCAAGAAAATTGTGTTTCAGGGTTGTGTCCTTTCACGACACTAATGCCATCTGGACGCTGAGGAAATCATCAGAGAAGCTGGCTTGTGTGACGAAGAATTCAGCAAGAGGGCTGGAGGAAGGCTTATTAACCTGTGATATGCAGCTGACAGGACCTGGCTTGCCGAAAGCGAGGAAGGCCTGATGAAGATCAAGGGTGGCAACCTTCAGTAGAGCTTCCACCTCAACCTAAGGAAGACCGGACCCTCAAAACCTGACCGCCGGTACCATCGTGATAAATGGATTGAAGTTGTCAAGGATTTTACCTCCTGGGATCCACAATCAGCGCTCCTGGAAGCAGCAATCAAACGAGCAAATGATCCATTCCATTGGGTAAATCTCCTCAAGACTCTTGAAATGTTAAAAACAAAGACAGGACTTTGAAGCCTCGGGTGTGCCTGACCCAAGTAGAGTGATGGACTTCCCAACCCACAGAGTAAGTAAAGTTGAGTGCTTTGGTGGAGGAGACTGGCTTGGGGGGTGGGGTGCCTCTGGACACTTAATTGGGGAGGTTGGGCTTGATGACCCACACAAGTGGAGCTGAATTCCTTTGGGGTGAGCCTTATGGAAGTGGGAGTCTCCGACCACTTAATTCAGGGAGCTGGGTTGGCTGACTCATGGAGCTTAAGCTGACTACCTTCATATGACTCACCTCATGTGCATTAGAAAGTTGGCCGTTGAATAAGGAAGACGGAAGAAGAACTGATGCATATGAATTTTGGAGCTGGTGAAGAATACCGAAAGGCCCATGGATTGCCAAAATAAAAAACAGATTTGTCTTTTAAGTACAGCCAGAATGCTCCTTAGAATCAGGGATGACAAGACTTCCTCTCAGGTGCTTTGGACATTGGTCAGCAGAGACCGGTCTCTGGATAAGAACGTCATGCTTGATGAAGGAGAAAGGCACTAAAGGAAAGAAGCCCGTGATGAAATGGATTGATACTGTGAGATGGCTGATGAGATGAGATGACTGAAACGATAGGCTCACACAGAACAACAATTGTGAGGATGGCACACGACTGGCCAGTGTCCTGTTGTCCACAGGGTCACTGTGAGTCAGAACTGGTTTGACGACAAAGGCACCAACTGGTGCAGTTGTGTTACATGATATGGGTACATAAGCACTACATTTTGCTTATACGTTCCTCTGTTCATGAGCATCTATTAAGTATCCCCACCTCTTGGCTATTGTGAATAGTGCTGCAATGAACATTGGTATACAAGTCTCTGAGTTTCTGCTTCCGGGTATTTTGATAGTTATGTTTTGTATCAACTTCACAGGGCTGGAATTTTCAGCGGTTGGGCAGTTAAAACCTAATAATTTCCCAGGATGAGACCTAACACAATGAAATTATCTCCGTAACGGGATTGTCTATGAGCAGCCAGTCAGGTTCAGAAGATCAGAGTGGGAAGCAACACATCAACACCTATCAGTGCCCTAATACAATCAATAGAAAGGACGTTTCCCCAGGGGCGTGGCCTGTTTCCAATATAAATGAACACTGTGGAAAACTTTCCCTTTTTTTGAGTCTGGATCCTGCATCTAGCTCATCTGCCTCTGTGTCTTTGGACTTGAGCCAAGGCCTGCCATATTGCCTGCCTACCTGTCTTAGGACTCATCAGTGGCCTGCCATCTGATCAGCCCACCTTGGATTCATTCACTTAGACAGCCACAAGCCTCTACAATCACCAGCCTGTCATTTTACTGGAGCTACAGCAGTCAGGGGAGCCTCCAGCTTAGCAGCTGATCTGTGGACTTTTTTTTTTTTGGCCATGCATTCATTTAATTGGTATCTTCCAGAATACATGAATAATGGTTTCAGAATGTCTAACCTGTAGTCCCGTAGGAAACAACTTTATCAACTAGTGTCTATACACGATTTATGCACAGTTCCTTGGCCTTGAATATTACAGACTTCAACAGTTTCCAACGTTACTTAGGTCAGCAACTTTTTCTCTCACCTTTTCAGGGAAGCCTTTCATTACACAGTTAGATTGTCTTATCACATTATACAGTTAGGTGGTTTTATCACAGGGCATTTCATCCTGGAATGCCTTGACTAGAGGATTTGTCTGAGTTTGTCTGCATTAGAGTTGACTCTTGGTGCTGTCAGCGTCTCTAGACTTTGACATGTGCACAATGCCATGTATCGGCCTCTGCGATGCCATACAGAGGAATTTCATAGAGCTAAAAATCTTGTGGGTTTTTTTTATAAACAGTTTTATTGACGTATAACTCACTTATCATGTATTCAGTGATGAAAACATATTAAAAAATAATTGTGCAATTATCACCACAATCCATTTTAGAACATCTTCATTCTTGTCGTCATTATTATCAGCTCCCCATTTCCCTTCGACCTTCCCTGCCACAACCCTAAGAAGCCATTCACCTCATTGCTGCCTCTATAGATTGGCCTATCCTGAATTTCCAGTAAAAATGTACCCCCTAAAAACCACCACCACTAACAAAACATAAACATCTAATTTAAAAGAAAGCAGAAAATAATACAAGCTAGAATAAATTTTAAATGAGTTCCAAAAAAGCACAAATGATAATGTGTTGAATTTTAACCTAAAATGTCATGTATTAATCCACTTCTGAATGCACTCTGCCCGATAGCCAGCTGTTCCCATACCTGTCAATGGTCAGAAGGGATTCGCCAGACGCTTAATTCATGTGTGGACCCTGCAGATGGAATTTGCGCGGTCGCTGTCATCCATCGCCCTCTGCAGACCGGGTGGGCAGAACTGAAGCTCTAATACGGTATCCTCCTCGAGGTTTGGACTGTATTGCTTTAAATCCTGGGATTACACTCGCAGGTGTGCTTCCTCTATGTGGACTTAGCTGACACCTCACTTAGATGGCTGCTTGTTTTAAGACAAGTCTTGAAGGATCCAGATATTATTCTTTCTCTCTCTCTCTTTCACACACACACACACAGACGTCCCTGGGTTTGCTTCTCTAGAGAGCCCAGCCTCAGACAAGTGTTTACCGAGGAGTAGAACGTACTCAGGGGAGACCAGTTCCTGGGAAGGACATCGTGATGGCAAAGTAGAAGGGCAACCAAGAAGAGGAAGACCCTTGATGGGAAGGATGGACACAGAGGCTGCAACAATAGGCACAAACATAACAATTGGGAGGAGAGCACAGGACCAGACAAAGTTACATCTGATCCCTCTGAATCGGAACAACGGTCATTCCACTTTTCGTGCTTTGAGCAACCACCACTCTGGCTTCCGCGATGGCTCTCCCATTTTGCACCAACACCAACAATGGATAAGGGTTCCAATTTCCCCACATTCTCACCAACATTTCTGCCTTTCTTTTCTCTTCTGCCTTTTGGGTTTTCAGTCACCCGAGTTGGGGTGTAATGGTTATTTATGGTTTTGATTTGCATCTCTCCGACTGCTAATGACTGTGCACCTTCTTCCTGTGTTTGGTGGCCATTTGTCTGCCCTCTTTGATGAAATACCTATTCAGGTCCTTTGCCCAGTTTAGGACAGGGTTCTTTCTCTTTCTGTTGTTGAGCGGTTACGTTTTATGTATAGTTCGTCCTCGTTTAAAGTGGGCACAATGCCTGGCCTCGGGTAGGAATACAACCACAACTACTGGTAGAACGAATGAATATTGAAATAGATGCATTTCCTCTCTTTTCCCGGCCACAGCCCCTCAGCTCTGGGTTAACATCTGAGACAGGCCAGCAGAGCCAGCCTTGCAGCCTGAGATAAGGCCTTTGTGGGTGTCTCCCCTATGACTCCCCCGAGTGAGAGAGGGCTGATACCTGGTGCCGGTGCAGCCCTTGCACAGCGACGGGCACAGGATGGGTTCCAAGTACCCACGCTCTGTCCGGGGCTGTCTGCCCCTGTTCGCATTAGCGCTGGAGACGGCTCTCATCCTCAGCTTCTTCTTTTTCACCTCCTACAGTGGTTCCATACCGGATCAAAGGGATCTCTTAGAGGCCTATCGAGGTGAGAGTCCAGAGGGGATGTGGTTCTGGAAGCAAATAGCAGGGGCAGGGACAGGGTGGGTCTGTGGTCCTCCAGGGTCAGAGATGGTCCTTTCCACAAGTCTCTGAGAAGAGGTATTCTCCCATCTTCTTCCATAGATTGTGCAAACATCTAGCGAACCATGCTGGCTCTCCTTTTAGAAGCAGTCTGGGCCTCACCTCTGCCACGAAATGTTCCTTGATTGATCAGGGCAGGGTGTAAGGGGGGTGGGGGGAAAGACGGGGTGGGGTGGGGCGGGAGGTCCTTTCCCAGGTTACGGAATTCCATCTGTCAACTTGTCCGGATAACTTCTCGCTTCCCTGCTTCTCCTCATCTGGCTCCTTAGCGTTTCTTACTGCCGTGAGGGTGTTTTGTTTTGTGTTTCTCTTGCTCATTTTCATACAGTACCCCCTGACCCCATCCCCAGTTCTCTTCTCACTGAGGGGCTAGGAGGTCTGTATTCTGTCCGCAGCTCCAGAAAAGCCATGAGGTCTGGCTGAAGGAGGGAGGAGGATGGTGATTACGTCATATGCCGCTAAAATTAGTCCCCAGACTTGGAGGAGAACAACTGTCAAAAAGGCAGTTGTCCCCAGCTGGGTGGTTTTGCTTATTTATTAATTTACTTCTCAGGCTGCAATAAGTTTCTCTCATCTCAGTGGACTGATAGATTGCTTATGACAGACCTTTTTGAGTGACATCCCTGAAACAAAGCTGAAGCTCGAACTCAGTTAAATGCTTGCTGGCTCCTAAGTGACAGTAAGTTACAACTTAACTGCAAGCAAAGACTAGGGAAATAGGCCAGCAGATGACTTAGGCTAGGCTGGACAGCCCCACCCCGCTGAGTGGACTGGGCTCGAAAGGGGCCCCCAGAGCTGGACAGACAAGCTGTGGTCACCATTTAAATGCTATTTCGTTTCATTCTTTTCCATCCGATCCAATATAATTCCATGCGTTCATTCACGCGACCATTACTAGTGGTTAGTGCTGGCATTGAATCCCTGGATGATGCAAAGAATGAATGAGCTCGGCTGCTAACAAAAAGATTTGTTCAAGCCCCCCCAGAGGCCCCTCAGAAGAAAGGCCTGGCCATCTACGGCTGACCAGTCAGCCACGTCCAATGCTATGAGCACTGTTCTGCTCCGACACATGGGCTTGCCTCGAGCTGGAGTGGATTTCACGGCAGCCGGCTTACTACGCACCAGACCCCATTCTAAATGCTCCAGGGGGACCCTCGCAACATTGGCCCTGTGAAGGAGGGGCTCTGATGACCTCGTGTTTCGGCTGAGAAAATGAGGCACAGGGGAGATCACTACGTTGTTCAAGATCACTCGGCTAACAACAGCACCAGTAAAAGAGAAAGAAGGGTGATAGCCATCAAGTCAATGCTGACTCATAGGGACCTGTAGGACGGGTAGAACTAACTGTCCCTGTGATTCTCCGCGATTGTTGGAAACCACCAGCCACCCTGGGGGAGAAAGACGGGGCTTTCTGCTCCCACGAACAGCTACAGGCCTGGAAACCACAGGAGCAGTGCTGCCCTGGTTTGTGGGGTCGCTACAAGTCAGCGTTGGCTTGAAGGCTGTGAGTTTGGTTTGGGGACTCTTTACGGGAGTAGAAAGCCCCATCTTTCTGCCAAGGAGCAGCTGGTGGTTTCAAACTGCCGACCTTATGATTAGCAGCTCAACGTGTAACCACTGTGCCGCGAGAGCACACACAATAGCACAGTCAATGTCAATTTGGGCCACTTGCTTTAGTTCCCAAAGACTTAACCTTTCCGCTTTGCCGTGGCACAGACCCCCTTGTCTAATGTCGTGTAACCAATGGGGGTAGAAGTCACTATGCCCACCCTGAAGACTGGCTGCAGGCCCTGTGCTGCTGACCCAGAGCAAAGTGTCCGTCATATGGAAATACAGAGGAGGGCTCACAGCCCCGGCCGCGGTGGGCAGAAGGAGCTGACCGTGTCAGGGAAGGCTTCTGGAGGGAGGTGACTGCCCAGCTTGAAAGCTCGGGAGTCACCTAGTGAACAAGGAAGGCACACAGTGAGAGCACAGCAAAGGCACACGCACGCGCGCGCGCGCACACACACGCACACACTAGACTCGACTGGGACGGGGTTTGGCACTGCAGTGGTATTGCAGTGGAGTGGAGAGCCACGGCAGGATGAACCCTGTGGTGAGGAGTCTGCTAACCTAATAGGAGCAGAAGTGTGCCGAGGGCAGGCTTGGGCTATGGAGAAGACGGTTTGAGCCTGCTTCGAGAGAGGATGGGGCATGCCGGGGCATGGCTGGAGATGGTGAGCTCAGTGAAGAAGTGATGCTTATACTCTTCTGACTGTGCCCCACTTCTTTTTTTGTAGCATGCACTTTCTACATTACACGCAGAATCAACTGCACTGGTGTATTTTGTACGTGTTAATACGCAAATTAGAAATGTTGACAGTGTGAGTGTCAAATGAAACATACCGTGTTGTCACATTGTTCCTGGTGATGTGGCAGTCACCCTCTTGGCCAGGCCCATTGGTCGGCGTCGTGGATGCGAAACTCTTCCTGGGAGAACCAGAAACCAAAGCCCTGGCCCCTGAGTTGGACCCTGTGAAGGGTTTCCAAGGCTGTAAACCTGCGTGGGAACCGAGTCCCATCTTTCTCCCTGGAGCACCCGCCCTTGAGTTAGCAGCCCGGTGCTTCCCTGAAAGTGACCGGGGCTCCTTAGTCCTTGAGGACTGCTTAAAGATTTCAAACAGCGTTAGCTGATTTGTTAGATTTAAATGCAATGACTTTTTTTCCCTTCTTACAAAATAATTCAAATACGTGGCATCAATTGTGATTTAATTGAGCTCTTTTTTTTAAGATTAAGATTGTATTGGGGGCTCTTACAGCTCTTATAACCACCCAGACATCGATTATATCAGCATATTTGTACATAGGTTGCCATCATCATTTTCTAAATGTTTTCTTTCTGCTTGAGTGCTTGGTATCAGCTCCTCTTTTTCCCCTCCCTCCCTTTTGTCCCACCCTCAGGGCCCCTTGGTAAATCATAAATTATTAGTATTTTCATATCTTATACCAACTGCTGTCTTTCTTCACCCACCTGTCTGTTGTTTGTCCCCCTGAGGTGGGGTGACTCTTTTTTTCTTTTAACTTTGGATGTGGCTGCCCGAGACTTTGCACAAGACAGGTCACTCTGCCCCTGTCTTTTTGTGTGCTTGTGCAGTCAGCATTGTTTTACCTTCGTGTGTGTGTGCGTGTGTGTGTGTGCACGTGTGTAATGTATGTATGTTTGCATGTGCGTGGGTGTGTTTGCTAAGAGTTGTGTCATCAGTCCATTTTGTGAAGGTTCATTTAGTGAAAACTAGACAATTTAGTCCACTTCTTCTAATCCAGCCCATGAAAACTACAGTAAGTTACTTGAACTAGATAACTCTAAAAAGCTGCTTTTAGACTCTCGGGTAAACGTGAGTGTGGAGTACTATATACAGGAATTATTGGTAATTCCGTGTGGGGTTCTAGAGATGCTGGGACTCGCTTCATGCCAGAAAATCTGAGGGGGGAAATGGGAGAAGAATAACAAAAACATGATACTCCCCTGGTCCCCCACTTCCCTTCCCCACACCCCTTCCTGAAGTATAAGTCATCAGAGCTGGAAGATAGCCGGGAGATTTTAGCACGCTTTCCTCTCTGCTTTAAAATTTTCCATAATTCTAAAAACAACTGCCGTGAGTTGCCACATGATGAATACAGGTAGTCACAGGCCTGCCCTTCTTAGTGGTCCTGCTGTCCAAGCACACCTTCCAAAGCAGGGAGGCTGGAGGCCGCCAGGCACCCTCAGCAAGGGAGCAAAGGTCCTGGGTCCACCAGAACGGCCAGCCTCACCACGGCCTGCCTAAGTAGAATAGCCTAGAGCAGTGTAGGCTCTCAGTGCTGAGCACCCTTCTGACCCCCTGCGAAGACGTCTGGGCTGGCCCGATGGAGTCCATGCCCAGCTGCCAACCAGCGGGCTCCTTACCAGCAGTCTCAGAGTCACCTGGGAACTTACCCCAGGATACAGTGTCTCAGACTCCCTGTATTGCAACCAGCCTTCCACATGAATCAGGCGCAGCTAAAAGTTGAGCACAACTTGAGCTAGACAGTCTGATTCAAACCTCACAGACAACTCTCGTGACGAGGATATGAGACCTGGGACAAATGACGCAACTGATTTCAGACGCCATTGAAAGGACTAAAACAGGAACCACATAGAAATCCCGAAGAAGACAATTAGCTTTTATAACTGAACTACTCAGCTCTGTGTTCTTTTTAGATAAAAATATACATAAAACTCGAGTTGTACTAATGTTTTCTTCCCGAAATGACCACAGGTTGTTGTTGTAAGCATTTTCTGAGCTGTGTGCTCCCCTCTGATAATAGCTGGTTTTGTGACCTGCCATCAGGCTGAGCCCGCAGGAGCAGTGGAGGGGAACCACGGAGACAGATTCAAGAGCTATTTACAAGCTAAACTACGCGGTGCTTGGTTAAAAGGGGAAGTCAAGGATGGTGTCGGATGGGTGATTCGGCAGATGAAGGACCTCTTGCTCAGAGGACATGCGAGAGAAGGGCCAGGCTGGGGGGGTGTGGACAATGATGTGTTCGTTCTGGGCTTGGGATGGAGGTGCCCGTGACATGCTTAAGGGAAGCAGGGTGTTTCGGGTATCTGTTGCTGCATAAAAAGCCGCCTCAGCACCTGCTGCTGCTATTGTTGTTGTTGTTGTTGTTGTTTTGTTAGGGGCCCTCAAGTCGGTTCCAACTCATAGCGACCCTTGAGCAACAGAACGTGACATTACTCAGGCCCCAACACTTAAAACAGCAACTGTTCAATTTGCGCACGATCCTAATTCTGTGGGTCAGCAATTAAGGCTGGGCACAGCTGGGTGGTTTTCGGTTGGGTTCTCTTCAGCTCACCCTTACATCTGCAGCTGGAGGTTCAACAGAGATGGCATGGCCTCAGAT